ATCAATCTGGTGGAATTATCGACGAATTAACCGAGAGAGTGGTGGAGTTTTGGTTCGTTTACACAGCGATTTCATGATTATTTGTGAAATATACTTCTTGCATCCTCGCTCTACTTCTCAATATCTGTTTTTACCTGTCGCTCGCCTTCCGCTTGTGTTTGTCACAGATTATTTCTGATGGTGTCACTGTTACAGTACACCTTGTCGCGTCCTCGCACAATCGACATCACGGGGATTAAGACGACTTAATTTCCGTTGGTGCTGCTTCCGCTGCTTACCATCATTTTGTGAGATGTACTGTGAATTGACTCAAATTCATGTAGACTGTATTCCACTTGAATCAGGGTGGATAGGGGGAAATTTCGATGTGTGCTGCTTCCGCCTCCCGATCATTCGATCGTCTGAATCATTTGTTGTTCCAGTTGACTTTGTGAGTTGTTAGTCGTAGGTTCGTAAGAGTGACACGGATTTCCGTGACCACTTGTCTGTGATAGCAGTTTGGCGAACATGATTGGAGGCTGAATATATGTGTATTTGTCATCGTAACCGAATGACATGTGTTTGTGTGTTGAATGATTTCTGAATACATCCGATGTTTCCGCTACACCATACATAGTCAGTTGTGTTGTTCAATCTATCTGTGCTGGAATATTTGCCTTTATTTGATGTTTAATTGCTACTCCCCAGTTCCTACAACTGTCGAGGCGATCTTTATTCCCAGTAATCCTCTGAGCTATGAGATTTATATCTGTACCACATTCTGCCTTACGGTGTTTGACTTACAAGCTGAATTTCAATGGCAGTCAGTTATAACTCCATTATGGATAAGAATTTATTTAGATTTTTCACACATTGTTGTACATTCACATTAACTGGTGACTTTTCTAGCACAGACTATTGCTCGTAATCATATCAATTAACTCACACAACTGTTGTGAGTTCAATCGGTATATCGCTTATCGCGAAACCCAAACATTCTCTTCAATTCGCGAAAAAAGGATGATCTACCATGATATATTAGGATTGGAATCAATGACCGTAGAGATGTGATGAATGTATTGATAGTTTCTGTGTGTATTTGTCGTCAACGATCAGCATAACGCCTGTACACTCACTCGAGTATACTCATCGACTGAAAACGAAAGCCTCAATCAACTGGGAGTCGTGAGTGCAGATGTCCTCAATCGCAGTAGGTCTATTTCAGTTTGGATCGTGCTGTTTTCAAAGGGACGATAAGACTTCTGGGATACGGCTGATGGCCAGCACCTATGGATAGCGCACTATTCATACTTATACACCTAATCTGTAATTTCACTTTAATTCACCTGGCTTGACCTGACTTCACTTGACTTACTCTTAACATCACCATCATCATCATCATCATCATTATTTTTTACAGGCTAATTTCACACCATATTTTCGGTACAGGTATGGAATTTTCAGCATGTGATATCGTTAGCCAAATTTTGCAGGCCGACCAAAAATATCGGGTGTGCGTCTGTAGGGGATCGAACATCGTATCATGTGCATGGTCGGCGAGAGTCCTAACCACTGTTTCACCGTCGCCTGTTTTCGGTGTTGGATGATTCATTCAACATTATTTGGTCATAATCAAGCAAAATGGCGGTTGGTGTCGAGCACCAGATGTGTATGGCTTCTGTTTAGTCACAGCTTTCACATAAGTCATCTCTTTACACTTCCGTCAATCTTATCAATGTAATGCTCTTAGTGAACTAGTCGTTTTCGCTTGTAATTTCTATCCGCCCGACAGTTTTGCTGATGTAGTTTTGCACGTAGCCATAAGTCATTAATCTTTTATATTGGTACAGATTCTGCAGAAAGTAAACATCTTCTGTTATTATTTGAGTTCACATTTAAAGCGTGCTTCACTCGCAGAAGTTCGGCAAGCTATACGGAACTAGAATACATGGCCTTTTGTCGTTTTATCACTGTGCATCAAACCCACATAGTGCTACGGAGTTTGTTTCGATTCTGTGATATTGGTTTTAATTTCTCAAAATTGTAGGAATATATGTGATATTTCCTGCACTATATTGTTAGAAAATTCTGTTGAAAGAGGCTAGTATAAGATCTTTTCTCATCAGTGTCAATGCTGGTGAAAAACGAGTGGTTTTTTTTCTTTTCGAACTGATTTCTATTTGGCGGGAGACAAGAAGGCTATCGTCGTTGCTTAACGCACACTGGTTGGCAGAAAACCAGAGAAATACGATCAGAAGTAAAACTGTACATTCTGTTAACGTTCATTTACAGGCTTTGCTGCAGCAACCTGCATTGTTGTCTAGTCATCGGTTGAAGAATAAATAAACGTATTCAGTTACTGCGCATAGTATTCTGCGTATTAGAGGTAGTCTTCTGAAACCAGCAATAGGTTCAGGATCTTTGCAGTCTGGATATTTGACAATCAGTAACATGGAAATAGATCCATAGTCCAGTTTGTTTCCGGTTGTTGTATACTAAATTGCGTGAACTATCTTACTTACTAGATAGGACTACAGGTGAACGTAGATAAAACAGAGGTGATGAAGATTCCTGGCCAACACCAACAGCGAAAACAATAGACAACAATCGGTGTAAATGGGAGTAACCGGAAAAAAACAACCTCCTTTACCAACCTACCTACATAGGAAGCATCATTTGAACTACAGGCGGGCGGAACCCACGAGGATACTAAAGCAAGGGTCGTGAAAGCAAGACAAGCTTTGATTACTCTCAAGTCTGTGTGGAGGTCAACAGCACTACTCAGCATGAAAAATAAGATCCGGATTTTCAACTCCAATGTGAAGTCAGTGCTACTTATCATATGGATCAGAGACTTGGCCTGGGCGTCATTATGAGCACCTCAAACAAACTTCAGACCTTCATCAAAAGCTGCCTTCGCTCAACACTCAAGATCAGATGGCTGGCCAGAAAGGATCAGCATTAGGGACCTCGGGAGTGAACTAATCAGGAACCGATTGTGAATCAAATAGGCAGGAAGAAATGGAGATGGATTGTCTGACCATAGTTTGAGGAAACAAACCATCAAGTGACATCACTAGAGAAACCAGCGCTCGAGTGGAACCCGAAAGGAAGCGGCAGTTAGTCGTCCAAGGGTGACCTGGAAGAGGTCAAGCGAAGAGGAGATAAAAGTGTGTGGGCAGACTTTGAGCGGGGTGAAAAATTTGGCAGAAAACTGAAGGCAATGAAGATGCGCAGCTGAAGCCCTATGTTCCTCTAGGAATTAAAGGATATAATAATTATTATTATCTTACTGATTATTGATAAGAAAGGCAAATGTAATACAAATAGCGTCAGATTACTTTTGGGTTTAGCTCAGTAATCTAATTGTCAATATTCGTTGTCTGATAGCTTTGTTACGTGGTCCAGAGTTCAAATCTCAGCCAATGCACTTGCTTAATCGAAAGGGATCTAAAGTAAAGAATTGAGATCTGGCATCAGGCTAGTCATATCATCCTGTAAACAAATTATCACCACCGGCATTCAAAATCCACTAATATATATATATATATATATATATATATATGTGTTTATACAGCGCTTGAAAATATATATTGGCTTCTCTGTCTTTCTTCATACATGTGTAAAACTTGGGCATTGTGGTAGTCAGTAATTCCATATTAGTTTGTTTATTAGATGTATCACACAGTCATGAAACAGTTTTACTGTTTACTGGATGACACACAGTTTAGAACACAATTCATTATTGTTCATAATCATTCTATCAATTACAATCACACGACTTCGAAACTTGAGTTTGATAGTTTCCTTTGTCCCCGCCTATTTGTTGTCGTAGGGGTAGTACAATATTCCAGATATCTGGGTGAACAGGTGTTGAATCATTCCTATTACACGTATTCTCTTTGAGTTGATTCGATAAACAAAGCTTCTGTTATCAATCTTGCCCTCCACCCTGCTGCTACATCAGACATTAAAACTGTCAGCTTATTCCATTCATCCTATTGTATGCCTGTGTGTAATTACATATAGTTCTATAGCCGAACTATTCTCTAGATTTCTTATCTTATTCGGGTCAACCAATCTAAATTTTGCTAGGTTTTTATTCTCGGCTAGTCTCACTCACTGCACCTCTTCTATGACCTGACCTACGTATCTGGCCTGACAATCATTGCAGGCAGAGTATTAGATAAACTGAATTGGTTTGCTGCAGAGGCTTGTTTCTAATTGTGTTTGTGGGTTTGAATGACAGACACTTTAATTCCTGCCTTGTTAAGAATTCTGTCTAAGGTTTCCGAGGCTCCTTCCTTGTATGGAATTGCTACTGATGATTTATATCACCTGTTTTTGGTGTTGTCTTGCGCATGTTTGACATGCGTGTCGTCATTAATATTATTATTATTGTTAGTATCACCATCACTACTATCATTATTTATTTTATTTATACATTTCCTTGCATATTTCCTGACTAATTTATTCGAATAATTATTAAGTTTCAAGGCTTCTTTTATGTATATCATTTCTTGTCTTAGATTTTTCTTGGTAATACTTAGTTCTTGTGCTCTGTCAGCTAAACATTCCACCAATCCTATTTCGACTGGCATAGATTAGGTCGGATGATCGGAAGTCCAAATATCGGTGTGAATGTGTGGGTTTCCTGTAAACACTAGCGTGTTTAACTTCCCATCTTCTTTCCTTTTAACGCTGCAATCTGACATTGGAAGTTCCCCTTCCTGACTTTCCAATTCATAAATCAATTGAATTGCCTCTACCTTCGAGTTGATGTGTTCGAAAAATCTATGTATTTCCTGTGTTCTAAGTACAGTATTTTGGTGGTGGGTTGAATGTTTCAATCACTGTGTTTTCCCACCTATCCATGAATATATTTCTCCTACAACCGGGGATATTGGTCTATCTTTCTTCTGCTGTGACAACTAACTACGGATCGACTGATAGTAAAAAAAAGAACTACAGTTATAAACTTTTAGCATTATAATCTTTACTTTACTACTTGTCACTCTTTATCAGTATCAAATTCATGCGTATGAAACAAAAAAAAACAACTATTAATTAAAAAAAAGAGAAAAGAAAAGAAAAGGGGAATTGATCGTGTCTACAAATTTTCACAGAAAGTTGATGATTTTCTCGATTAAATCACAATTAATGTGAGTGTTTGTGCGTGTTCGGTTTAGCACATATATATATGTCATTTTGTATATATCTCCAGGTATTAGCGAAACGAAATAGTGAAGTGAATACGCTGTGCATTGAAGCGGTCATTTTAATTATCTTGTTTATTATAAAAAATATATACATTTGTAAAACAACAGGCAAAAATATACACTTAGGCGATTGGATCTCATTTTTAACAAAATGGAAAATAGGGACAAAGGAGAATGTTAACAAAAAGGTTATTTTTCAGAAAAACCCTCAGAGCCTTTGAAGAGTGTTGTCAGTCGAGCAGTTGTTAATCTACTGAATTGTCCATTTCATTATCATTATCATCATCATCGCCATCAGATCTCGTGTGATCATTACCAGGATTGTCTGTTGGCGTTGTTGAATAAGCCCAGGGTTGTTGTTCACTTGAACCAAATATTAAATAGGTGATCATTGCACCGAATTGACTGCATGCGGCTAGGCATAATGCAACTCTCCATCCGCTTTTTAATTCTAAACCAAATTTACTCACTACAATCGATGCAATGAATGTTGACAGAATACCTGTTCAATGGGGGTAAATAGAAGACAAAATACATGTTAGTTTACTGGTACAAAAGAAAGACGTGTACATCAAGCTACTCTATATGGAGGGGTGTCATGCCAGCTTGATAACTAGACAAAGTCTGAACGCTGCTGTGGTTAAAAGGATCTTTTATGCAGCTAGTGTCATAATATTTGGGAATGTGAAGCCAATATATCTGTCATGCGAAAAATGATGTCACATCCCACTGGATTTGCCGATTTGAATGTACGTGTTAACACACACATACATATGGAGGATTCATTGATCTCTGCAAGTAAGGACTGGCTTCACAGAATATTCCTAAATGGCTCCAGAAGAAAATAGAATACGTTCAAAGCAAAAATTCGTCATCACACTAAACCACCTTCCTTGGTAAACTTTGTTTTGATACTGTTATATTTGTTATTTGGTTTAGTGATCTTCACTGTTATTTTGACCTTCAGTATGTCTTTTTAACTTGACCTAAGTCTATTTTCTCACCTCTTAACTCTTTATTAATTTCATATATATATATATATATATATATATATATATATATATATATATTTAAAGGGAACTAATTGTTTTACAATTTAATTGAATTTCAGATTTTTCCGCCGACTGATTGGACCGAAGGCTCGGTCTCAGGTTGACAAGTCGACTATTTGTTCAGATGCTACGACGATTTCTGGCCATTTAGTTAGTATTTAATTGGTACATGATGACTAGCAAAGGAATACAAGATTCACATTTCATCCTATTTGGGACTCGTCAGCTGGATGTACTTGCATATCCCAGTGAATGATGATGTCCCCATCCATGCTCGAATCCAGCGGCCTTAGTTTAAAACGCCAAAGCGTTATCCACTAGACCACTTGGGCCATGAAAGCTGGCAACCTCTTGTGCAACGGGTTGGGACGTGGTGGGAACATCATCACTCATTGGAGAATGCAGGTACATCCAGATGACGAGTCCCATATAGGACGAAATGCGCATCCTGGATTCCACTGCTAATCACCATCCACCAGTTAAATTATTGTTTTAAAAGTTCATCATTTCACTGATTATTTCAAAAAGTAAGTTGATGATTTATACATTACTACATTACATTACAGAATCAGATAGGCAAGGCAGACACTCATCACTCTGAAATAAGCCCGGAAATCATCCGAATCCAGCACAAATTTTAAGTCGCTCACCCCTTTTATATTGGTGAGAAACTTTTGGAAACACACATCACGGAAGTCATTTCAAACATTCTATTGTTTCCAGACTGCTTTCAACAGTTTCCCAGAACCTATTGCTCAACAAGTATGCCGAAGAAAATGCAGATGTATGGGGTACACGCTGAGGAGACCTTCGAATTGCATCGTGTAACAGGCTGTTGCTCGAGTAGAAACCAAATGAGAAACGACGAGTCATGCATGCATCCGAGGCTGACATGCAGAAAATTGTATGAAGAGGAGATAAAAGCTTATGGACAGTCGCGGGGAGAGCTTAAGGAGACATCAGAGAGCAAAACAAAGTGAAGTTTTGATGATATTAGATGGTTGGAGGTAATCGACCACAGGGAGCCTTAACTGTACTTAGATTTCGTGCTACTTGGCACTCATCAGTCAGCAAGGCGGCGTATCTACAGCTTTGAAGGAACTCATGTCCCTTCTGAGAGTCGAGCTCGCACCATTCAGTGCCGCAGTCAGGGACGTTACAACTGATGATGCGGGTTCAAATCTCAGAATGGACATGTGTTCCTTCAAGGTTGTAGATACGCCACCTTGCTGACTGGTGAATGCTAACTAGCACGAAACTTAGGTACAGTCAAGGCTCCCTGTGACCGATTACCTCCAATCATCTAATATCATCAAATCAATGTGCACCGTGATGGCGAGCTACCTAGTGGCATGGTGGCCACATTGCAAACTTAACTGACTGATAGAATTCAGTCTGCATCCAAGTAAGGACTAGACACATTACACTAGTTGTTTAGTGTCCAATCAAAGTGGAGATTTGTTGTTGAAGCCTTATGTTCAACTCAGAACTCAAAGGGGCAATAATATGAGAAAATAATGATAAATATTGTCGATAAAAATTGCGGTGTCTTTGTGAAGGTGTAGTTACCTTTATTAGGGCTAAGATGATGTCATAATCCAAGTTATATTTTTACTGGATTTATAAAACTTTTGATAAAAGTCTTATATAAGTAATTTGCTGATTAAAATTATTTGGTTAACATTTCAATGTCATTTATTAGTTTGTTAGACAGATAATAAGCATGAATTGTAGGAGAAATTAAATAATTCTTTCAGTTTTGACGTAATTCTCCTGAAGGAAAGCATCAATGATTTTTAACTTTCTTCTGCTTATAAGATATTCACTCCATGGTAGCTAAGGTTTTAGAGCCCTACAGTATATTGTAGGTGGGTGCCTGTAAACACATCAATACAGTAGGATATGGACGAAGTCAGAAGAGAAACTACCAAATTAGATATTATGGAGAATATGCGTTTGTGCTCTGAGAGCGAGCTGGATGGTTACGATAAGAAAGAAGCCTCATACACTAAAAGGATCAAAGTTCAAGTCAATGGAAACATTCAGTTCCAATACAAGTAGCTGCCTAGAGGGTGTAAAAATACACAAAAACAACCAATCACGTTCAAGGTCACCTGCCAGGAGAGATGACTAATAAACTCCTGAAGAAATCTCAAAGCTCACTTCACCCTCGAATTGAAACATGCGCTGAAGATGTTACCCAGTAGGGCGATGAAAGCTTCGTAAATGAACCGTCCAGCTCACAGAACACAACCACGTCAAGAGAAACTAACAATCTAAGCAAATAAACCACCGAATGTAAATCTTAGACGGAACCACTTCCTAGCGAAATATAATAAAATGGGAGACGAAATCATTAAATTCGAGTGTGATGTATGCGTCGGCAGCACGGCGAGTAGGACGCTAGCCGACCATATACATGATCCGGGGTTCGATCCTCTTCCGACACACTCCTTTACCTCTCTATGCCAGTAATAAAATGGAGCTGGTAAAGAGGAAAGGTTGGGCATGGGGCTAGCAACCCCATCCTGTGAAATTAGGCACTGCTTCAGAAACTTCTAGCCACTGGATTGAAGCCGTATGTTCCGCTGGGAACCTGAAGGAAAAAAGCCAAGATACAGTGAGTGATTTAATTTAAAGGCCTACATTTTGTGAACGAATATATCTGCATAATACAATCACGCAGATTTCACCAATCATGACAGGGAAAGTGGTTAGAATATATTCAAAGATATCGAGAAAAATCATCGAAATTCATGAAAAATCTACATAGGGGCATATAGAAGATCAAAACAAGTGATTCATCGAAGAGACTCTTTTCAATGAATTTATTATCAAGCTGTATAAATGTATATAAAGGGTCTTTAAGAAATTATATCTGGTGGGGGAATTGAATCATGGGTGTGAATACATAAAATAATAATAATAATAATAATAGTATGAAATGCTATTTAAACTAAAATATTTGTGATTATAATCACACTTCAATGTCAAGTGGCAAAACAATGTCATATATAGAATGGATGGATAGAACTTAGATGGAGTGTGCAACTATAGGATTTGTAGGCAAATACAATAAAAATAAAAGCGTTATGTAACATTCCATATCAGCTTATTTATTAGATGTATCGCACAGTGAGTGAAACAGTATTATTTACTGAATGGTACAGTGTCGAACACAATTCATTATTGTTCATAATCATTTCATCAATTATAATCACACGACTTCGAAACTTGAGTTTCATAGTTTTCTTTGTTTTCTCCTATTTGTCATGGAGCCTTTAAAACAAAATAATACAGTTTATCCAATACCCAACCTCCAATGATTGTCAGGTCAAATATATAGGTGAAACTAGTATATAGCAGGGGCAGTCAGACTAGCCGAACACAATACCTGGCAAAATCTAGATTAGTTTACCCGAATAGAATAAAAATTTGGAGAATAGTTCAGCTATAGCACTCACTACATGCAATTACACACACCCAAACATACAATAAGATGGCATAAGATGACAGTTTTGAAATCGAATGTACCAGCAGGGTGGAGAGGAAGACTGATAACAACGGAAGCTTTGTTTATCGAATCAACTGCAAATACATGGAATTGGAATGATTCAACACCTGTCCACCCGAACTTCTGGAAAGTTCTATTACCTTACCGATGTCAAATAGGAGAGAACAAAGAAGACTATGAAACTCAAGTTTCAAAGTCGTGTGATTATAATTGATGGAATGATTATGAACAATAATGAATTCTGTTCGAAACTGTGTTATCCAGTAAATAATTCTGTTTCAGTGACTGTGTGATATATCTAATAAAGCAACTAATATGACATTACTTACTACCACAGTGTCCAAGTTTTACACATATATTCAAATTGTTATGTAATATTGTGTGAAATTTGATAACATAGAATTTATCGTTACATAAGAAAATTGATTTAGAATGACAAGTGGAACAAGTCAAATAATATCGGGGAAAATTCATAGTTAGAGTAGTAATAGTAACATTTGACATTATAAAAGTAGACTATTCCCAACTGAAAGGTAGATAGAGCCAAAATATGATTAGTGATAACCGTGTTTTAGTATAGAGGGGTTAGAAGAACTTTTTCTGTATACAGAGATCTGGCTTCAGCAATACAGATAGGTTGGATATGTAGTGATTTGGACATATTACCCTCCATCATATAGATGACTTTAAATGCAGAGGTTGTAGAGATAGGCTGATCACAAACATTTGACTGCATTTCTTACTACTATTGTTATTGTTCCACGTATTCCAGCCCATGATTTAATTCCCTCACAGGATGTAATTTCTTAAATACTGTATATATATATATATATATGCAACAAATTTGCTGAAGGAATTTTGTCAGACTGTGAGCAACTACTCCAGCCGCAACGGAAACCTTGTATCTCCTCCTCAGGTAAAAAAGAAGTCTTTCGA